TTGGCGTGGATGGCGCGCTCCTCAAGCCTGTCATTGCGAGCAAAACCGAGGACCTTGTCGACCTTCTCCCCATGGGCAAGTACCCCGAACAGACGACTACCGTCGTTGCCGACACTCCGAAAGCCGACGGTTCGCAGGCAGTGGATCGCTTCAGTGAGCCCCTGACAGCCATCGCTGGCGACCCCGTTCACGACGCCGCCGCCTCGGCCTCCGCTCGCCCAGGGGGGGGTTCGGGTCGGGCTGTGGTTACTTGGTCGGCCTGCGATAGGTCCGATGCAATCGTAGATCTGGCTGATCCTTGATCGTGCCGGTTCTGAGATCCAAACCCTGGCTGACCAGCGGCCGATCGATGCCCGTCGCGAGCGGTCTGAGGTCATTGCGTTGCGGCGGTGCGCGAGCCCGTCGTGCAGCGACTGCCGGGATTTTATTCACGACCACCAGGACATTTTGTCACGTTTGTCAGCGCCGCCCCCGGACGCCCCGCTTGCCGGGCAAGCGCCTGCGCGCCCGCGCGCGCAGGATCTGTCGGAGGCGGGCGTAACGCTGCTCAGAACCGCTGTCGAGAAGACCGTGGCGACGTTCCCGGCAAGCATGGGCGCTGATGCCGACGGAGCCGCGGACCTTCGACGATTCCTGCAGTTGCCGAGCGTGTCGAAGTGCCGCCTTTGGAAGAAGGAGTTCGGCGCATACCCCCGCGGGGAGTGGCGTCGCGCATCGCGCGGCGTGCTGGGGTTCAAGTGGATTCGTCCATGGCCTTTCGCGGGCGCGCCTCCCCGGAGCAGTTCAAGGCGGAGGTCCGTAGAAACGCCAGGTGGGACAAACCTGGCCGCCGCTCCACCCGTAGGCGTCGGGAGATAATCCAGCGGCCTTGGGCCTAGCCCGCCGCCGCGTCTGGGCTAACGGATGTGCGCTGCGAGTTCGTGGTTAACCCCTTGCGAGATCCCTTGGAGACAATTCCTTCGCCCCTCACGGCATCTGCAGCAAATTGTGGCGCCTCTTTGGAGCCTCTTGGTGGCCTCTCCTGGGCCTCCTGGAATTCCCTGGGGGTCCCTTGGGAAGCCCTTGGGACGCCCGGAAGATCATTGGGGGCCTCTTCGGGCGGGAGAGAGGCATAGTCGACGCGCCCAGTCCGCGCCGCGGGGCGCGGCGGCGGATCCGCGACAAGAAGCAGCCCGAGCGGGTCCGTGGCCTTCGCGGCGTCTGGGCCGCCAAGGTCCGGGCGCATTGCCGTCGCCTCTTGAAGCCCCTGCGAGTTGAGGGCCTGTGGGCTTGGCAGTCAGCGGCGCGGGCGATCGGGGCCGCGGGGGTGCCCGTTCAGTCGGGCACCGTGCCCGTGGAGCGCCTGTGGGAGTGTCTTAAGGGGATGCCCCCGCGGGGCGCTCGCACAGTGTCGCTGCGCTGGTTCAACGTCCTCAGCCAGCTCGCTTTCCTGCGGTTTAATTACCGCCACTACGGCACTGGTTGTTTGCCACCGTGGGCAGTGCGAGACGCCCTGCTGGCGCAGCGCTTGGAGGCCGTTGTCATGCTCGGGGTTGAGCTCGAGGATGACGACGGCCTCGACCATTTGAAGCACTTGTTCGCACCTTTCCTGTGAATTCATCTTGCGGATGCATGCCGTGGTCCGCCCGAGCCTTGGCAGGCTTGCGCCAACCTCATGTTTGCCCTCGGCTTTGGTTTTTCTGTATCTTAGGCTACCGCGCGGTCTGGGATCAGGTCGGTCTGGCCTGGGAAGGCGCGCAATCCGAGAGAGGCTCGGGATCCGCATGCGCGTTTGCAAGTGCTCGGAACCGCAACTTGCGGGGCAGGTCGCGAGGAGTTGTTGCCATTCCGCATCCACCCACAGACGCCGCACCTTTACGCGGAGGGGCTTGCATATACTGCAGTGTGTCTCTTGAGAACTCTCCCCCTCTCTCTTTCTCTCAATTTCTCTATCTCTGTCTCCCTCTCTCCTGCTCCCTCCTCGCCCCTTGCGTCGTTAACAACCCTCGCAGTAATTGAGCGGCGCTGGCTATTGCGGCGGTGGACGAACGGAACGGGCGGGAAAATAACGGACAAGTTAAGAGACTAGTTCCGCGAGTCCAGACGAAACCGTTGAGAATTCCCGTGCGTCACCCCAGAACTGTTCCAAGCGTAGTATGTTTTCACGCATTCGCCCGCGTCGGCCTCCATGGCGTTAACAACCGCGAACATACCCGCAACGTTCGGAGCAAGACACAGTTAAAACAAACATTGTTTTTTGGGGAACGCAGGGGTTACGCACGGGGAAGATTGTGTATTTTGACGTTATGCGAGCGTCCTTAAACACACACTCCATGAATCTGTATTGGCTTTCACAGCGGCAAGTTTGCGACCGCGTTCGAACGAATCGAGCGTCAGCGCGAGGCAGACAAGGGGAAACAATGGGTAGAAGAGAGAGAGAGAGAGAGAAAGAGAGAGAGAGAGAGAGAGAGCGACAGGAGAACAGAGAGAAAGAGAGAGAGAGAGGACAGGATAACAGAGAGAAAGAGAGAGAGAGAGAGAGAGAGAGAGAGAAAGAGAGAGAAACAGAGAGAGAGAGAGAGAGAGAGAAACAGAGGGAGGGTCGGCAAAACGGCCGGGCTTGTTCTGAAACGCCTTCTGGCGCTTTCTTCTATTAGTGTCATGGGCCGTCTTGAGCCTTCGACGGCCCGCGTGCCGGCCAGCCACCGAGCAGCCGACGACTATCTATCCTTCCCTCCCTCCCTTTCCTTCCCTGCCGCCCTGCCTCCCTGCCTCAATCTCCTCCTCCCCCTCCTCTTCCTCGTCCTCCTCCTCCTCTTCCTTCTCCTCCCCTGCCTCCATGTCCTGGTCGTCCTCCTCCTCCCCCCCTGCCTCCATCTCCTCCTCCTTCTCCCCCTCCCTCTCCTCCCTATCCTCTTCCTCTTCCTGTTGCTCCTCCTCCTCCTCCTCCTCTTCCTCCTCCTCCCTCCTCTCCTCCTCCTCCTCCTTTTCCTCTCCCTCCTCCTCCTCCTCCTCTTCCTCCTCCTCCTCCTCCTGCAGAGCAGCTGATCAGCCGATCAGCCGATCAGCGGCCGAGCAGCCGATCAGCCGATCAGCCGATCAGCCGATCAGCGGCCGATCAGCCGATCAGCCGATCAGCCGATCAGCGGCCAAGAAGCCGATCAGCCGATCAGCCGATCAGCCGATAAGAGGTTCGGCTGATCGGCTGATCGGCTGATCGGCTGATCGGCTGATCGGCTGGAATCGGATAGCGCCCCGGCGTGCCGTCGCCCTGCTCAAGACGGCCCAAGGAGAGCCGCCCAGACGGCCTTAGTGGCGTCACAGTGACACCAGAAGACTGCGAAATGTCCTGCGGGGTTTCCGGGCAGTCCCAGAGCTTCAAGACGGCCCAAGAGGACTCCACTTTCGCTCCCCAGAGAGCCCCAATATGCAACAACCATTGATTCACCATGTCATTTTCAATGTTTTTGGAATTCTCGACTTTCAAGCTTCCGACGTTCCACGACGTCCCCAGAGGCCTCCAAGACTGCCCCAAGACGGCCCAAGGGACCCCCAAGACCGCCCCAAGACGGGCCAAGAGGGTCCCAAAACGGCTTCAAGAGGGGCCCAAGACGGCCAAAGAAGAGCCGCCCAGACGGCCTTAAGTGGCGTCACAGTGACACCAGAAGGCTGCGAGATGTCCTGCGGGGCTTCCGGGCAGCCCCAGACAACCCAAGATGACTCTACTTCCGCTCCCCAGAGGGCCCCAATATGCAACAACCGTTGACTTACCATGTGTTTTCCAATGTTTTTCGGATTCTCGACTTTCGAGCTTCCAACTCTCCACGACGTCCCCAGAGGCCTCCAAAACCGCCCCAAGACGGTCCAAGGGACCCCCAAGACCGCCCCTAAGACGGGCCAAGAGGGTCCCAAAATGGCTTCAAGAGGGGCCCAAAACGGCCCAAGAGGGGCCCATGACGGCCCCAAGAAGGGCCCACGAGCAGGAGACCGAAAGGACAATTCGCTCTTCCGTCCCAAGATGCCCCTAGACGGCTCAAGAGGGCTATCCGAGCGCTCCCCAGTGGGCCCCAAGGCACAAATCATTGATTTTCCAGAAGTTTTTCAATGCGTTCGGGCCTCTCGACTTTCCCTGCTTCCGACGCTCCACGACGTCCCTGGAGGCTGGATGATAGTTTTTTTTTTTCAACGGAACAATACGAGAAGTGTACCTTTTGACTCGGGGGCCATTTTCGCAGGGGCCCAAGGGCCCCTTCGAATTCTATATGCTTCGGGCCAAGTGTGACTCCGACACCCAAGGCTGACGCGCTCCCGCCACGGCCTACCTCAGCGTCCAGAAAAGGGACCTGCCCAGAGTGGACACCTGGTCCCCCCACCTCCAGCCACCCGTTGCCCTGAAGGGGCTTGTTTCACCTTGCTGCGCCCGGCTCAGGCCGTAATACCCGGGGCCACCTTCCGCTGGGGCGAAGGCTCACCCCCACATCTCACCCACGGCGCAGCTTAGCTGGACAGCCCACGCTGGATAAGTGGACCACCATCCACCTCTTCGGGCCTGCCACTGGGGGACTCCCACTTGCGCCCGACATCTCACTCTCCCTGGCACGGCGGGGCCCGCCTGGCTCGCGCCAGCAGGCCCCCCAGGCTCCCAGACTTTGCTGTCCGATGACGACATCCGGCTCGTGGGCCCTGGGCAGGAGGTGGGACCCAGCACCCCCCCCCGCCTGCCTGGCGGCGAGCTCGACCTATCTAGGTCTCAGTTTTATCACACCGCAGGCGCCCGAACATCGGCGGCGGTTGGCTGCGACCCTGGAGGAACCAACACACACCGTCCCCACAGAGGCTCCGGCCTCCGCGTTGGCAGACCAGCATTCAGCGTGGCAGGTTGTCCACTCTGGACCACACCATCGGGCCGCACCAACACCGGGCGACAGACCTATCGTTCGTTACTATTTGCACTTCAGCGGCGGTTAGCTGCGACCCTGGAGGATTCTCGAGAATGGCGGCCGTGTCCCTCGGACAGGCAGACCTGGGGCCCGTTCGAAGGGCGTTGAGGTGCGTCTTCCTCGCCTCTCCCCTCGGGTCCCTCTCGGGCCGGGCGGGTGTCCCCCGCCCTTGGCCTTCGGGGCGCGCTTCCTTGCGCTTCCCTCACCGGGCGCCCCCTCGGTGGCCCCCCGAGGGAGTGGTCGGTCGCGTCTCCCCCCCCCTTCCCTCCGGGCCTTCTACCGGCTGGGCTTCGCAAGGCGTGCCGACTGGCATCGATGGCTTCGCCCCCTCTCCCCAGGGCCACCCTGGACCCCCGCTGTCCGTTGTGCATTTCCTCGCTTTCAGCGGCGGTTCGCTGCGACCCTGGAGGCCCACGTGGTGATGGATTGACGGCGACCCTGGACTTCCGCGGGGAAGGGCGGACGCGGCGGACAAGGTCGGCCCACGGTGGCCTCCGGCCCCACGCGGCTGCGACAGCGCAGCTTCGCCCAGGTCGCCGCACCCTGCCAGCAATGGTTTCCCACCAGCTTGGCCACGCGCCACGCGCGGCCCCTGGAGGCACGGCCATCTCCGTGCAGTTCAGCCTTCGCAGGTACGGCCGCCCAGTACCCCCGCCGACAGCGGTAACTTTAGCCTCGCCCTCAGCGGCAGCTAGGTCGCGACCCTGGACGCTCGCGTGGAATGACGGATTCGGCGGGGCCCCTGGTTCCCTGCGGGGAATGGCGGACTCGGAGGATAAGGCCGTCCCACGGTGGCCTTCGGCGTACATCAGGCGGCAGCTGCCGTGCCCCCAGTGCAGCACCCCCCTGGATCCCCCTGCCTCGCTGGCGATGCTCACCACGCCTGCCTGGCTTTCTCCTACAGTCCATCTGGCATCGGCGCTGTGCCGTTGTTGGCGGGGCCGGCCCATGTTCGTCCGGGCCTACCTCGGGCACTGTATGATGGCCTTTTGGGTGCTGTGATCGCGCCGGAGTGGTTTAGCCTTCTGCAGTCGCAACAGCACCCTGGACTCATCCCCCTCTTCTGGCAAGTTTGCGACGTTTCTCAGCAGCTCAGCTCCCCTAGCCAGCGCGCGTCGTTGGGGCGGCTTGGGCCTGGCGCCCCACTGGCGACTCGCCCATCAGTCTTCGCGCCTGCTCCCATCCAGTATGAAGGACACGTCGGCACCTGTGCACGTCATGTCGCCTGTGTGGGTTATGCCTCACGGCATGCACCGACTGCACGTGCCCGAGCATCCCAGGGCGCCCCCAGCCGTCAGCTTCCCGCACGGCCCTGCGGCTGCTTGGTGAGTGGGCCGGCCGGCTAGCGGTGCGTCTTGTAGCTAATCAGCCTTGTTCGCTGCCCCGGACATTTGCTTTCGCCGCGCGTGCTCTTCGCTCGCGGCCGCGACCAAAAAAAATATCCCCGCCAGCTTGGCCTGCTCCTGGCTGGTGCCGGCCCCTACTGGTGACCGGAAGGTTCCAGTGGGTCTCTCGCTACACTGCCTACCCCGCGGTACCTGGACCTCGGGTTCGGCAAGTGTGGCTCTGTACGCTCGTTGGCCGACGTTCCCCTGCATGGACTTCGCTGTCGACAAGTGTTACAGGTTGTACTGCAGCTTGCAGTTTTTGTCGGTGATGAGGTTGCCCCTCTTCA